CTGCAATCTCATCAAACTCCCCCATCCCGATCGAGACGGCCCTGACAAGAGTAAGCACTGTGCTTACCATCGATGCGCCGGGCATGACACCGAGGAGTGTACCCACTTACGCCAATTGTTGGAAGATCTGCTCAACCTGGGAAAATTGGACAAGTGTGTGGGGAAGAGAGAGGACAACAAGAAGAATACCGATCGGAGGGATCACAGGCGTTCTCATCACCGCTCCGATCGGTCAGGTCAGGACCGAAGAGACGATCGAAGGGACGATCGTCATGATGACCGACGGGACCCTGACCCTCCGTCCGGTAGCCGCCCGTCCGGAAAGCCTACCATCCACGTCATTTTTGGTGGACTGGAAGATGCTTCCCGACCGCGGACTAATTGCCCGGTCGCTATAGTGGATTCCCGGGAGACCGGGAAGAGGCAGAAGATGGAACCAATAGCCTTCACCCTCGAGGACCAACCTACCAGCAGTGACCACGGCATGGAGGCGCTCGTGGTCACGATTGACGTTAAGGGGACGGACGTCCAAAGGGTTATGGTGGACACGGGCAGCAGCGTGAACGTCCTTTACTTGGACGTCTTCGAGAAGCTTGGCCTCGACAGGAAGGAGCTGACTCCGGTCGGTGTACCACTGTCAGGATTTACCGGGGCTCTTATTTACCCCGAGGGAAAAGTAACGCTCCCGGTCGAGATCGGCGCGCCTCCAAAGTCGATCAGGACGGAGCTGGAATTTGTTGTGGTCAACCTCCATTGCGTCCACAACATTATCTTGGGCCGACCCGCCATTATGAAGATCGGTGGGATAATTTCTATGCCCCACCTGTGCATGAAATTCCCCACCCCTAATGGGGTCGGCGTGGTCCGCGGCGATGTCCAAACCGCCCGGAAGTGTTACACCCGAGCGGTCAACAGACGAGATTCCGGACCCTCTTCCCGGGTGAATACCATAGCCAAAGAGGAGGCTAAGGAACGGAAGGAGCAGCCTAAGCCTTCCGAGGAAATAGAAGAAGTTCCCCTGTCCGAGGACCGCCCGGATAGGAAGATCAAGATCGGCCGAGCCCTCACCCCGAGCTTCGAGCGGAAGTTTTGGCCATACTCCGGGAGTATGCTGATATCTTTGCGTGGGGGCCTGAAGACATGCCCGGGATCGATCGATCGGTCATCTGTCACAAATTGGCCGTCGATCCCTCAGCAAAGCCGGTCGTGCAGAGGACACGACACCTTTCCTCCGATCGCCGCGAATTTGTCAGAGAAGAAGTCAAAAAGATGGCGGCAATCGAGCACATCCAGCCGGTGGTCTATCCCGAGTGGGTGGCAAATATCGTTCTTGTTCCTAAGCCCCCAGCATGGAGGATGTGCATCGATTTTACGGACCTCAACAAGGCCTGTCCGCTCGACCCGTATCCTCTACCGAGCATTCACCAGATGGTCGACGAGACGGCCGGGGCCGAATTAATGAGCTTCATGGATGCCTTCAAGGGGTACCATCAGATCATGATGCACCATGAAGATGAGAGCAAGACAGCCTTCGTGACCCCGGACGGGCTGTATTGTTACCGAGTGATGCCATTCGGCCTCCGGAACGCAGGAGCGACCTACCAGAGGATGGTCAACATGCTCTTTGCCGATCTACTGGGCCGAACGATGGAAGCTTACATCGATGACATGCTGGTCAAGAGTCGGGACCGATCCGACCACACTCGGGACCTCCGGGAGTGCTTCCAGATCATGAGAAAGTACCAGTTGCGGCTGAACCCGACCAAGTGCACATTCGCGGTTCAAACCGGCAAGTTCCTCGGCTATATGATGACCAAGAGAGGAATTGAGCCCAACCCGGCCAAAGTAAAAGCGATTCTGGACATGCAACCACCTTCCACCGTTCGGGAAGTCCAGCAATTGACCGGTCGGTTGGCAGCCCTTAGCCGGTTCCTCTCCAAGCTCGCCGAGCGCGCTTTACCTTTTTTCAAGGTATTGCGGAAGGTTAATGGATTCGTCTGGGACGAAGAATGTCGGGCGGCTTTTGATGAGCTGAAGGAATATCTCATGTCACCGATCGTGCTCTCAAAGCCCGAGCTCGGAGAAGAGCTAGACGTGTACCTCGCCGTGTCCGATCGCGCAGTAAGCGCAGTGTTGTGCCGAACCGATCCGGAAGGGGTCCAGCGACCGGTGTACTATGTAAGCCACGCGCTACATGGTCCCGAGCTCCGGTACTCCCGGCTAGAGAAGGTCGTCTACGCCTTATACATTGCCGCGAAGAAGTTGGCTCCCTACTTCCAAGGTCGAGCAATTCGCGTGTTGACCGATCAGCCGATCGGGCCAGTCCTCCGAACCGCTTCATCATCCGGCCGCTTAGTCAAGTGGGCGTTAATGCTGACACAATACGCGATCGAATACCGACCAAGACCAGCTATCAAAGGTCAAGCTCTTGCTGATTTCTTGGTCGAGTGCACCGCCCGGGATATCCGACCTCCCGAGGTTGCGGATCCCGAGGCCGAGTGGTGGTCGTTGGCTACTGATGGGTCAAGTAGCAAGAAGGGAGCAGGAGGAGGAGTGGTGGTCACGAGCCCGGAAGGATTCAAGGTTTATTTTGCTCTCATGTACCAGTTCCACCCGACCAATAACGAAGCCGAGTACGAAGCATTTGTTAATGGCTTACAGTGCGCTCGGGACTTGGGGGCTGAATACATCCGAGCTCAGACAGATTCCGCGCTCGTGGTCGGACAAGTTCTCGGGGATTATGAAGTCAATGGAGAGCGTTTGCAGCTGTACCGAGACCTTGCTATGGAGAAGCTTGCTCAGTTTCGGGGGTATACCGTCCGACATATACCCCGATTGGATAATGCCGACGCAGATATTTTATCTAAATTGGCTCAAGATGCCCCGGAACACATGTCGAAGATAGCTCGGATTTTGATGATCCCGAGACACAGCATTCATCGTCTACCGGTTAACCCAATCCAACCGGTAGAAGACAATTGGATCACCGATCTGAAGGAGTACCTCGAGCACGGTCGCCTCCCAGACGACCCAAAGCGTGCTCGGAAGGCCAAGCTTAGAGCCCCAAGGTTCCAAGTTTTGGACGGTCGTCTCTACAGGCGATCGTATGGAGGCCCTCTGATGCGTTGCTTGACCGCATTTGAGGCCGATTTAGTCATGAAGAAATTGCACTCGGGAATTTGCTCTTCACATCAAGGAGGCCGATCCCTGGCCCGTCGTATCATGCTGATCGGGTACTATTGGCCGTCCCTCCAGCTGGACTGTGAAAAGTTAGCTCGGGAATGTGAGACGTGCCAACTGTTCGCCCGGATGCCTGGACGACCGGCAACCTTCTATCAGCCAGTCACGACCGCAATTCCTTTCGCTAGGTGGGGGGTAGACATATTGGGCCCCTTCCCTCAGCTTTCCGGTCGGAGAAAATTCGTGATCGTCGCCATCGATTACTTCTCCAAGTGGATAGAAGCCGAGCCTTTAGCCACGATCACCTCTCAGCAATGTGCTCGTTTCCTTTGGCGAAATGTGATTTCCCGCTTTGGTGTGCCCGTGCATCTCATCAGCGACAACGGCCGCCAATTCGTAAGCCAGTATTTCCAGAACTTTTTGGCCACGATCGGGACAACTCACGTTCGGTCGTCGGTGGCTTACCCGTAGGGAAACGGTCAAGTAGAGAACGCGAACCGGACGATTTTGGAAGGTCTGAAAAAGAAATTACACTCGGCCGGTCGTAGTTGGGCCGATGAGTTGCCATATGTCTTATGGACTTATCGGACGACCCCGAGGGAAGCTACTTTGGAGACCCCTTTCGCCCTGGTTTATGGAGCTGAAGCCCGACTCCCGATCGAGGCTTGGATCCCGGCCGATCGAGAGAGAACCTACAATGCGGAGGAAAACGAACATACGATGGCTGTGGATCTCGATGCGGTCGAGGAAAAACGAGAGCTAGCCGCTCGGCGCATGGCCGAATACCAGAAGCGTGTTAAGAGTTCTAAAGACGTTCGGGTCCACCCTCGTTATTTTCAGGTTGGAGATTACGTTCTACGACGAAGGGAGGCCAGTCAACCTTCGGAGGGCGGAAAGCTAGCTCAGAACTGGGAAGGGCCGTATATCGTTAGCGCGGTCATACGGCCGGGTACGTACCGGCTGGAGACGACAACCGGTCGGGTAGTCGAGGGGACTTGGAATTCCGAGCACCTCGTTATGTTTAGGCATTAAGCCTATTTTTTGTAATCTTTTGACGAAGCGGGGGCTTGACCTGCGAGTAGGTCCCGGTCGTCGGTTGTAATTAAGCTTTATGGTTGTAAATATTTGTTTAACCGCCTGCGAGCGGGAAGGTTTTAGTGTATATACGATCGGTGATTGCTTGACCGCTTGCATGCGGCGGCCCGGTCGGTCATTTTCTTTACCTTCGGTGCACGCAGATCAATTTATCTTCAAGCTACACCGACCGGGCGAATTTATCGACCGGTCAGACGCGCTCCACATCGGCAGACATTCGAGTCACGCCACCGGTCGGGGAAGCCAGGAGCACACAGCATAATTCCCCGATCTGATCACTTCTTGTCCACTATTGCACTCACTCGTGCCATGAGAGCACAATAGTGTGGGGGCTGGGATGAAGGAAGTATTTACAGGCCCGTCGTTCGGAAGTATCCCGACCGTAGAGGCTTACTTATTTTCAAAAATTTTGACAAGGCCTGGAGACCGGGTAAACCCGATCAGGTTGGCCAGTTTGATGTCGAAATCTCGGATGCACGACCGGGCCATAAAGCCATAAGGTCGGGCGTCGAACGGATCGAGTAGTGCAGGACCGGGCCAAAAGGCCATAAGGTCGAGCATTAAGGGTCAGCATGTGCATGACTAAAAGTAAAAAAGCAGAAAGAAAGACGAACAATATAAGTTTAACAAAAACGAGTTTCATTGATTGAAAAGGAGTGCCCGGTACAAATTCGGGACCGGGCTCCCGATCAGCGCTCTTTTACAAAAAGAAGAAGAAACCTAGTCTACTTCTTCAATTCCCGAGCTCCGGCAGCTGCCTCCTTCCCGCTCGAAGTGGCCGCCGACGACGCCCCAGGCTCGGCCGCCTTTTCCTTGGGAGCGAAGGGGGAGGGGCCGGGGTCGGCTAGGTCCGGGGGTAAAGCCGACAGGACCAGCTGAAGATCCTCTCCGTCGAGAGCTTGCTCCAACCGGGTACGGGCCCGCTCAAGCATTTTGCGTTGCCCGGACTTGAACGCCCATCGGCCGAAGGAGACGATCAGGTCCTCTCCGACCTTAGTTCCCCGGGCCGCCGTGAGAAACGCTGAGCCCGACTCGCTGTCCTTGAAGACAGTCTGCACCAGCTCGCTCGGATTATCGAGCCGGGCCTTCAGCTCTTTCGCCTCCCCGATCGCCCGTTGGGCGACTTTCTCTGCGAGGACCCGGTCTTCCTCGCTCTTTTTCAGGCCCTTCTGGGCCTTCTCTAGCTCGGCCTGGATGTCCTTGATTTCCTTCAAGCGACGAGCGGCCGTTTTCTTGTGGTGGTCGGCTTCTTCGGCCAGCATGGCCCGACCTTGAAGGAGTTGGGCCGCTCGGGAAATCTGCAGTACAAGAAGATGTTCGGCGTTAGCCCGGTCGAAGACATTTGCATAAAAGAGAGAGTTAATGGAAGAGAGCTTACCTCGGCCAGATCGTAGCCAATCTTCTCGGCCACTTGGGTCGGGGTCATCTTCCCCAAATCCTCCCTAGCTGGCCCGGCGTTGCCGATCCGGGCCAGTATGGACGTAACGTCCCTTTCTCGCCCGACCGAAGGGCTCGGGCTGCGTTGTTCGCGGCGGCGTTTCATGCCGCCCACCTCGGTCACGCCTCGGTCGGGGACCTTCTCCTTGCCCTGGGCGACTTCCACCCGGGTGATCAGGACGTCGGAGGGCTCGACGATAAAGCCCTTGCCCGTCGTCACGGTCGAGGTACTTAGTGGTCGGGCCGAGGGGATCTCCTTTTCCCCGGCGGGCTTCGCCTTCGCCTTCTTCTTGCCACCAAGGGAGATCTTGGCGGGCGGGGGAAGGGGGGCATCTTCGTCACCGAACTCCGCCATAGCTGCAAACAAAGAAATCAAGTTAGTGTGATCGAGGCATAAAGTTAAGTCGGGAGGATTAGCTCGAGTTAAAACCTTTCTTCCTTCGCCTCGACGGTTTGGCGACCGTCACGCCCATCGGCACGGGCAGATATTTCTCCCGTAGTTCGTATGTAGGGGGCGGGAGTTTAGCCGCCTCAAGACTCTCGGCCGTTCGGAAGATTGTATACTCGTGCAGCTCGCTAGAGATCCGACTGACCGTCTCCTTGAGCGCTTGCGTCTCGTCCGGCACCACTTGTTTCCGAAAGTGGGTGCTCCAAGCGCGGTCAACCGGGAGAATCCAGGGGTCGTATTTGATGGAGAAAATCCTATTCTTCCACCCCTTGTTGTTCCCGGGCAGGCCTCTGATTGCGCACATGTCGGCTCGGGACTGTAACATCAAGAACCCGCCCCCGTAGCTGCCCGGGAGAACTTTGACCTGGTAGATGTAGTTGAACAACTCCATCGTACAGGCGGCCTCATGCCGAGCGCATATCTGCGGAAAGCAGGCGATGATCCGGTGCGAGTTGGGGCAAATCTGGGCCGGGACGACCCGGTAGTAGGCCAAGAAGGCGTTCAGGAGGGGGGTGAAGGGAATGGCGATCGGGGCCATCAGGGAGTCGTAATGCATCCCGATCCACTTGCCCCGATGCCGATCGATGACATTCCCTAACTTCCGGCTCGTGTCGAACTCTACCCGACCCCCGAGTTTCTCGGCAATCCTGGCCGCCTCACCTTTGGTCAGCCGGCTCATTTGCTGTTCGACATTCTCGCTGTTCAAGAACTCGAACACCACGACTGCGGGTGCGGCCGGCCCAGCAGCATCTTCCTCGGCCGACTCGGGAGTACTTTCCCGGACGCCTCGTCGTTGAACAGCTTCTGGGTGGTCCCCAACCACCCGGGTAGGCGTTTCCCTAACGCCTTCGGTTGGAGGTCCTTGTCTACCCGACGTAGTTCCTTCTTCTTCTTCTTCTTCGCCGGAACTCCCCGATCCGCTTGAGCTGGAGCTCGACGACCTGGAAGAGCTGGAGGACTTATCTTGTTCGGCGGCCCGCTCGGGGGTTGGAACCGATCGGTAGATAACCTCGGGGGAGTAGGACATGATGTCCACCTCCTCATCGCTGAGATGCTCGACCTCCTCGTCATAATCCGCGATCGAGGCATTCTGACTGTCAGAGTCTGTCATTTCGATCTACCTAGAGGTCGGTCGGGGTTAGTAAGGGACTTAAAATGTCCGGGACAGTTAGTTGGCCTAGCAGTTCTACCTAAAATGGAAGCATAAAGAAGAGAGAAGGGTTGAGAACTTACCGAATGGAGGAACTTTGCGGGGGAAAGCTTGAAGGTCCTTGCTCGACTGCCTTGTTAAGGTGCTCTGCTCGGGGCTCTCTGAGAGTACCGACTGAAGCAAAAGAGTGAGGAAAGTTCAAATGAGGGCCTCAAGGGCCTATTTATAGGAGAGCATTTACGCGGGAAACGAGCCCACTTGCTTGACACGACCTGCACTGATTCCGAGGCGACGGTTGCAGTCGCAGAGGCCGGCAGTGGCCGACACGTGGCAGGGAGGGGAATGACAACTGGCCGGTCGGTTTAGTGGCCGACGGTTGGGCTTCTTCACCCCGTCCCGTTTTTTCCCGGACGATCAAAAAGGCCAGGACTGGGGGGCTCTTGGTAGGGAATATCCCGACCGACATAGCTTCACCACGACCGAGATGCCTTTGTCCTTTTCTCTTTGTCTTTACAGGTAACAGGTCGGGCTCCTTGTGAAGAACCCGGTCGGGAGTTGCCCGAGCGACGGTGTCGACCGCCGAGCGGTAGCCCTTTGGCGAGAGAGCTGACGAAAGACACGTGGCGACTCTCTACGACGACAGACAGGGAACCCGGGAGGATGACACGTGGTGGCTACGTGGAGGACATGCCGAACGGCTGGAATTCTGTCCCCGGCATAGCGGCTATAACCTACAGTAGCTACAGTGTAAAGGACTTTTGGACGATCGATAGGTTGTTGTTAGAGAATCCCGACCGCAGCCAGTCGGTACTCAGAGCAACCAAGTAGATTGTACTTAGGGCCTCTACCGTGATCAATAAAGACATTTACTTGCTTTAATTGGTCTCGAGTTATTTCATATTGCTTACGTATAATTAGCAGTATCACTCCCATTAAGACATATAATGAAACAAGTAATTTAGGCCTTTAATTACTAGCATCAATAAAATATAGAACAAAATTGCAGAAGCTATATGTAACACCCCGGATTTTCAGGATATTTAAAACTTATGAAATAAAGGTGAAATCTTATTAAATCCCAAAACAGAATACAAGAGTACGGGGTGCTATGCCACACCTGAGCTAGAGAACTCAGGTGCACAGGCTAACTAACTAATGTTTCAATAATGTAAATGCGTAAACATGGCACGCAGGCCGAAGGGGAAACTAACTACTTCTACGTTCCAAGTTCTAGCGCGCTCCAGTGACTTACTCTTTTGTGCCTGAAAGCCAAATATATCTGTTCAGCGAGAGATGCTGGTAACCCACTCCAACGCGTTGAAATACATTACATATAGAGATATATATAGATATACGAAAACCATTTTAAAGCATGAAGATATATCCTGCGAGACTCTAGCTTTTAAAACCGGGAATGACTCGACAGATAAGGCTAGACACAAGCAACAGTTATAACAAGCGTATACAACCCACAACAGTCAAGACAGATAAAGCTGAGCACAATTAATAATCATAACCCAACATAAACAATCCCAGCATAAATCCCATAGTCACATCCCCCAATATACTCATAAACACAACTCGTCCATATCTCATCACATAGCACACTTTGTTGACGCCACAGGACCAATCGCATGCCCATACATGAGGGTCAGCGCATATAGCTCTGACACGGCCCCGCAGCACCCTGCCCCGTCTCACATTACGGAGGAGTCGATCGCAACCGACTAATGAACCGCAGTTCTATATAATATTTATATACCTGACCGGTCTTTACCAGCCTGGTTAACAGTTGGGATGGTTCTCAACCCATTCAACTGCCCGTATAGTGGACCTTTGTCCTATATAATATTTATATACCTGACCGGTCTTTACCAGCCTGGTTAACAGCCGGTATGGTTCTCAGCCCATTCGACTGCCCGTATAGTGGAACTTAGTCCTATATAATATTTATATACCTGACCGGTCTCTACCAGCCTAGTTAACAGCCGGTATGGTTCTCAGCCCACCCGACTGCTCGTATAGCCCGATTGATCTCAACCAAATCGGGGTAACACGCACACATAACACGTAGCAAGCACATGCAACCCACATTAACACATTGGGAAAGGGGAGAAAACGTATAACAAAACCTATGAGTGATCCTTCACATGCTAAGAATAGTTCTAAGGGGTTCATACACCTTTCACCTAGGTCAGCGGGATACCAATTCAACTAGCATGCAATATATAAGACTCATACAACCTACGAACGGTACCCGAAATACCAAACTAGACATAGGCACGACAGACGGAGTCCGTTGGGACACCACGGGGGTCGGGGAAACATCAAACGGGGAAGCCGAAACCCCGGGTTGGGGTATTTTCCAGCGGGTAGCCGGTGGGTGGGGGTCCACCCGCCGGCTGCCCGCCGGCGTGCACTGTTCCGGGCAGCGGGTGCCCGGCGTGCAGCTGCCCGCCCGCCGGCTGCCCGCTGCCGGGACTGCCCGACTTGGCCGCGGGTAGGTGGCGGGTCCCCTACCCCCACCTACCCCCCACTGGCTCTTTTCATCACAAAAACGCCCCGGGAACCATTGTGGAACCCGAAACCATGCTTAGACACTTTACAACGCAATTAACGATCAACACGTAGTCAATTAACGGATCAAATACGAGAAACGTACGACACATAAACTATCATGCTTTTCTAACATAATCGACACCCCAAACATGCGATTTCCCACCCGATACACCAAGAATGATATCATACGATATAACCTAGGGTTCTAATCACTTTTATACCCACAAGAATACGATTCGTCCTCCAATTACAAGATTCGGTGCAAATAACACATAAGCATCAAGAACGCCATACAATTATCAAGAATGACATATAAACATCAAGAACTCCACATAATCATCAAGAACATCATAATTATCAAGAATCTCCCAATATCAAGATCACCCGTGGGATTATCCCATCAATCATCAATAATAATATCGCAAATCATCAATACACAATAATATGGGGAAATCCTACGGGGGAATCATAGCTATGAAAATAGGTTTTGTTGAGACATGGGTTACCTCTTAGCCTTAATTAATTCCTTGGCTATGAAGGGTCTTTCTTTAAGCTTTCTTGCTTTCTTGATTTCTTCTAGGGGGATTCTTGGAGCTCTTTGGGGTGGTGGGCGTTATTCTTGTGGTGGGGGGTTTCTAGGTGCCCCTTAAGTCCCCTATTTATATATTTAGGAGTCCTAGTTAGGAACTAATATTATGAGCTTGCTAATTCTATTTCTTATGGGACTAAGGATTGGGTTTAGGGATAAGGGCCCGTGGACTATGGTGGGCCTTCCTAATTAATTATTGTGATTTAATTCTTTCTTTTGGGTAATTGATTAAATGATTTAATTGATCTTAGGGGTCGTAACACGGGGTGTTACACTCTCCCCCCCTTATCGGGAAGCTTCGTCCCCGAAGCTTGGTCCTTGCCGAGTGACTTTCTCTTAGTTACCTGGTGTGAAAAGTTCGGGGTAGCGTTCCCTCATTGTGTCTTTGAGCTCCCACGTTGCTTCCTCGGTCCCATGGTTGGTCCAGAGGACTTTCACCATTTCTATGGCTCGGCGACGGGTGTTTCTTGTCTTGGTGTCCAGGATCCTCACGGGTCTTTCTTCGTATACTAATGACTCGTCGAGGTTCACGACCTCGGGTTGAAGCACGTGGCTCGGGTCGTGTACGTATTTCTTTAGCTGGGATATGTGGAATACGTTGTGTACTCGTTCTAGTTCGACGGGTAGGGCGAGGCGATTGGCTAGGTTCCCAACTTTTTCTATGATTTCATAGGGGCCGATAAATCGAGGGCTGAGCTTTCCTTTCCTGCCGAATCTCATCACCCCTCGTGTGGGCGAGATTCTCAACCAGACCTTGTCCCCGGTGTTGAACTCGGCTTGTTTCCTCTTTAGGTCGGCATAGGACTTTTGGCGGTCCTGGGCAGCCTTCATCCTCTCCCGGATGTGCTTGACCTTGGTGATTGTATCTTGTAGGTGCTGGGGCCCTAGTGTTATTGGGTCGACCATGTCTTCCCAACATAAGGGGGTTCTGCATTTTTGTCCGTATAGAGCTTCGTAGGGTGCCATACGAATGCTCGCGTGGTAGTTGTTGTTGTATGAGAATTCAATAAGGTCTAGGTGTTCCTCCCATGTCCCTTGAAAGTCCAACACGCAGGCTCTTAGCATGTCTTCGAGAGTCTGAATGGTCCTCTCGGTTTGGCCGTCCGTGGTGGGGTGGAAAGCAGTGCTTAGTTTTAGTTGTGTCCCCAAGGCTAATTGCAGTGATTTCCAGAATTGTGAGAGGAACCTGGAGTCTCTATCGGATATGATGTTTCAGGGGACTCCGTGATACTTCACTACTCGGCTCAAGTAGGCTTGGGCTAGTTGTGTTATTGTCCACGTTTCCTTCATGGCGATGAATCGCGCTGTTTTGGTTAGTTGGTCCACTATGACCCAAATCTTATCCTTGCCGGTCTTCGTTGGGGGTAGTCCTCCGACGAAATCCATGGATATGGAATCCCACTTTCCTTGTGGTATCTCAAGGGGTTGTACGAGTCCCTTGGGCTTGCATCGTTCGGCCTTCACCCTTTGGCAATTCAGACACCTAGCCACGAAATCCGCGATTTCCTTTTTCATGTTGGGCCACCAAAACGACCTTTTTACATCTTGGTATAGCTTGTCACCCCCTGGGTGAACTGAGTATGGGGAGTTGTGTCCTTCCTCCATGATTTGTTGCTTCAAGTGGGGATGCGTTGAGGGCACGCACCACCTACCTTGGTAACGGAGACTGCCATCTTCGTGTATTTTGAAGGGTCATTCCTTCCCCTGGGTTAGGTCGAGGCGGATTTTATCTAGTTCCGGATCCTGCTGTTGCCCTATTTTGATTTCCTCGAAGAGCGTAGGTACGACTCGTGTGTTGAACAAGTGGATGTCG